GCAGAGAGAGAGGGAGAGGGAGAAAAAGGAAATATTATCAGTTCTTTAAAATTGAAACAGAGTTACTCTGGAAACAGCCTGTAAGGAAAAAAAAAAAAAAATTAGACGCAAGTTATTTCTCAAACTGTAACATTTCAACACAATTTTTACTGCTTTTCTTCAAAAGTATGTTCTGTTTTTCAGCATATTGTCTCAATAAGGATATAAGGATTTGGTTGAAATAAATAAGATATTGATGTAACTTTCATTCCCACTATTAAGCAATTATTAGGAGGCATGCGCAACTGAAAAGAAAATTAAGAGTGATGCAACTATCTAATTAAATCTGGAAGAAAGTAAAAAAATATTTTTAGGACAATTATATTGGTCTTCTCTCTCTACATTTTCAGCTTCTCTTTACTGTCACTATCTGTAAGTGTTTTAAGATGTAAATATTATGGTGAAAAGCATAACTGATAACAATTATAATTTTCAGAAGAAAAATAATATAACCTTTTAATACTGATTTGATTGTTGGGATTTTTTCTGACTCTTGTTTGATAAACTTTTGACAGCAAAAATAAAAGGAGCCTACTGATTTACACAAAGCCAGGGGTGACTTGAAAGATTAAAAATTACATCTTTTTTTCATTTTTAAGGGATTGACATCCATAATAGTAATATAGTCTGAAGATAGAAATCCTATTTTGCTTTTTGGCTATGTCATCAGAAGGTACAATTGGTAATATTGCCCTCTCGTGTGGGTAATACAAAAATGTCACCAATTCACCAAATCCTTGTCACTCTTCTCACATGGAGTTAGCCCTTGGGTTTTAAGTTGGTTGCTGATTATAAAGCATGTTGCTTTGGTGTTTATAGACCAAGACATATGTGTGGTCAAAATGAGCTCCACATTTCCTTCTCCAGATGCAGAATGGACTTAGTGTATCAGGTGGAGGGTTGATTGCTTGATTGCCAGTGTCCATGGTAAGGATGCACTTTGTCTGAATGTGCCTTTGTGGCATTTTTCTACCTACCAATATATTGATCTCTGACTTTCTTTCTGGTCATGATCTTGCTGCTCCCTAACTGTAATTAAAGACTTTCAGATTCTTGGAGCTGGAAGGAACATTCAAATAATCTACTCCAATTTACCATATTTTGCTAATGAAAAATTTTTAAGAAAGAAAAGGTGACTAGTCTGAGGTCACACATTTTATTAATATCAGAAATAAATCTTGAATAAAGTTTCTTGACCTTTTCCTGTATTATGTAGTCAGCTTTGTTATTGTTTTTTTTTTTTTTCCTTCCTAGGAGTGGTAGCTCAGAGAATATAAATTTATTAATTTACTAAGTATCTATATATTATGTGACAGACACTATATTTAGCACCATGCTTCTAGCAACAAGGATAATAAACATAACTGTTGCAGGAACATAGCATATAATCTAAATTAAATATTAATACCATTCTTATGCTAAGAACTGACTTTCCAAGACCATGCTGTCAGAAACCACAAGCATGACACATAGGCCACTAATGAGATCACCAGTAAAATCAATGCTGCATCTTTTTTTTGGGAAAATACCTTCTAGTCATAGAGAAAAGCCAACTTCTGCTAGAATTCAACACTGAATACGAAATCACAAAATATATTTAAACAGCTTAGGGTTTGAACATCATTTAATCAATTGTCACAACATACTTTGATCTAGAACTTGGTAGCAAGTTCAGAAATGTTCAGAACTTTCAGAAATGTCAACAGTGATACATGCTTACATGTTCATTAGAGTCTAAGGACTCTATTATGTTGTGGGGTCACATAAAATCAGGACAAAAAGAGAATTTGAAAAAGTTGTTCAACTCATTCATTTATTTATTTTTATTGTACTATTAATGAAGACCTACTTGTGACTCCTTCAAGCATCTTGTCCCCTTTAAATAAAAATTTTCTGCTTCATATCCAATTCATATTTTTCCTTATATTTACTTTGTATATTGCCTTTAGCATTTCATAATTTTCAATCCTCAAAAAATGATCTTTTAATATGTGCTTTCTCCTATAATAGGCACTCAAAGGCAGTTTGCCCTACTGTTGATTAATGGTTTTCTACTTCTTCCCATGAACTTATTTAATATCTCCTATCTTGGCTGTTCCTTGGTCCTTCTGCTGTGGAACACATCTTTATACGTGAAGTAAACAGGATACTAACAAAGACAAAGCCAGAGGTTCCACATGAGCCACGGACAGGGCGTTGAGAAGATGAGACAATAGAACTCTGTTAAGTACACTACACATAATATGTGCTTTAATCAAATGAATTGCTGTTAAAATGTAAAAGAGTACATAGCAGCTATTTTAATTAGGTCAAATTGACTTTTATCATTGTTGTTGTTTCTTACTTTAGAAGGGGAGATTGTTCCACTTTGTTTTGTTTGTTCTTTTTTAAAGAAGAGTATTTTTTTTCTATTCTGTTATCAGAAATGGCCCTTGTATAATAAATTACAGAACCAAACAGTAAAAAGAAGCAAATAAATTTTAAAAAGGAAAGAAAGATGAGAAAAACGTACCTTTCTTCAAAGTGCACCTTGCTTAATTCACACTGGGAATTGCTTTCGGGAGGCTGTCAACAGCTCCATTTGGGCACAGTGCCTGTCGTAGAGTAAGTACCAACTAAGTGTGTGGTAAGTGGCATTTACTTAGAGTACGGCTTTTAGATTTTTTAACGTTTATTTTAAAGAAAAACTTACAAAACTAACTTCTCTAGATCATTGTTAATTTTTTAAGTAAAAAAAAAATTTCTCTCAGAAAATGTGTCTTGATCTCTAAAAGTGTTTTTCTATTGTGAAATTATACTTTTGAATCATCATAAAAATTCAAAAGCAAAAAGGTGTTTTTAGTCCTAAATAGAATGTCTTAGTTTTATGTCAACTCTCTCTTTGTAGAAAAAACATGATGACATTTGGACCCAAGTATATTTACCAAGATTTGTAAAAAAATCTGTGACTTTATGGATGAATCCTAGCAAAGTTAAATTACAGCTAAAAGATGATTACATGTTTTTATGACTTTTCGTTGCTACATTCTGCAATGTAAACCGACTTTACCAAGGCTATCATTTATATCATTCTGCAAACCCTACTCTAAAACCATAACCACAAAATAAGCATTGAGAGAAATTTACTCACAGGCATACAACAGAAGAGGTAGAAGAGGATGGATACCTTGGACGTAGAACAGCCAAGAATATATGTGATTATTATTCAGAGTTTATATCTTTCCTTGTGATAAAATGCATTCACTTCTAAAAGAAATGTTAATTTTATACTTTTTGATGTATGTCAATCTTAAGTTATTCTAATCTATTTTTTAATTTTTTTCTTGCTAAAAGAAAGTGAATAGAAATGACAGGAAATAGTTTCTATGCTCTTTACTGAGTTTTGCGTGAAAATTTTATAAAATAAATTGAAACATCAAAAAGTTTATTGTATTTACAAATAAATAATCACAAATTAATATTTGGATACCATATAACATTGGTCAAAGATTGTTGATATTATCTAAAACTAAGGATTAATCAACTTGGACATTTCTACAAAAATACATATAACCACTGGGAAAATAGCTCAGAAAAAGTAACATATTCTGTTGATCACATAAAATAATAAATACATTAAAAAAACATCTAGTCACCAGGCCTGAGTTTGGCTGAGGAGTTTCTAAAACCATCTATGCTTCAAGCTGTGCATTGCAAGTGAAAGCAAGTTATAGCCTCAGGGATGTCATGGTGACAAGGGCCTGGCTCTCTCGGTAGCTTTCAGGCCAGTTTCTTCTGCCCTCTACTTCCCCTTCCACACTTTTTATTTATAATAGTCACAGTTTCCAAGCCAAAATTAAACACATGGCCTAATAAATAGAATTATGGAGCAATAAGAAGGCAATTTCTAATCAATACTGTTCTGAAAATATCTTATCTTTTTGGCCATAATAACTATTAAATCCTAGAAATATTGGTTATGAATTATCTTATTTTTTTTCAGTTTGATGATTTTAAAGTACATCTATAATAACCTGAGATTCTTCTGAAATCATTGCTAGGAATTGTTGACATAGAACCCAATTTTATGTAAGCGAATATTTAGGTATCTTTAATCAAAATGGAAAAAAAAAACTTAATGTCTTACTTTATATTGTAAACAGGCTGTAGGATTTGATCATACCTACCTGAAGTCCCAAATAGCCATTCGACAAATGGTTCTGGAAGTGATTTCATTATTCACCACTGTGATAGTGGTGAACAAGTTAATGAAGGGAGTTAATACTAGTACATCCTGTTTTTAAATCAAAAGCGCAAATTAAGTTATCTTGTATGAAAATAACAGAATAAAACACAAGTGCTCTGAGTGCAGAACACTGTGAAGTGCTTCAAAGGAAAATTCAGTGGGAGATTGGTGTTTAACATGCTAAATGGGATTTCTACGACTATCCTGAGGGAATTTAGAGGAGCATTTTTAAGCTGCTGTAATATGACCATATTAAAATTAAAAAGCAAATCTTTTACTATGATTTCAAAGCTTAAATGAAACTTTTCCCCCTGCCACTTTAAATAAATCATGTTTTGATTTCATTTAGGTGCTGTGACAAGTTTTCTTTTAGGTTTTGGTTAAAATAAGCTCTTAGCTATCTAAACCTAGATCAGTCGAAATAACATCTGGTACACAGGCTGCTGGAATGGATTTTAGTTTTGGCCTCACCTTAGTTTAGCATCCATCCCAACCTTAAAAAACAAAAAACCAAAAAAACATACATTAAAAATTCTCTGTGTAAGTGATTGATTAAGTCCTCCTTACTATATTTCCTAAAACTAATTTAAATATTCTCATATTATTCTTCTTTAAAACCTAAATAAAAATTAGATACATGACTCTGCCTTTTTACTGTGCTAGACAAAAGAGTCTTCAGAAGAGAATGATAATTATCCTGGCATTGAACTATAATGCAGATAAAAACCTTGTTTAGAATTTTGAAAATGGTCAACACCTTAGCTGTCTACACTATCATACCTTTATGCTTTTAGAATAATAATTCTCCAAATGCCATTTAATCACACCTCTTAATATCCCTTTATCTTTCACTGGGGAATAGTGGAAGTGTGACAAAGAGTATTTTCATTTATTTTACTCACTTTTGTTCTTTATATAAAAGGTAATGTGAAAATGTGCCCAAGGGTCTACACCTTTTCCTCCAAACAAAATAGAACTAGAAAAAGTAGACACTCTGGTTCATAGTCCTTGAGTGCCCCCTATAGGATACTTTTTATATTTTTGTTCATGTAGCTAGGTTAGCTTTTAATATATTACTGCGTTGAATTTTATTTAAAATAAAAATAAAATGATAAAAATATGCATCTGTGAAATATAAATATGCATATTTTCTTTCCTCATACCAGCCCATCTGAAAATCCAAGGAAAACTGTCATTTTAACACTTAGTGGTTTCTCTGTTTTTGCTATTTTCTCTAAAGTTCTGATTGCCTGCTATTCTATTCTGTCTACACTCATAGTATCAATTAGTTTACTTCAAAATATAAGTTTAAAATTTATGTCTATTATATCTAGGTATTTCTCTTAACATATAAAAAGAACAATCAACTAACTATACGTATTAGAAAATGAAAATGGAATATCCTTGTATGGGAGGAGAGGCAGCGTTGATATGGTTAGAAATAGAATCTTTGAGTTCTCAAGAATTCTTAAATGTCAACTTGACATCTATGAATAATACTGAAATGGAATGAAAGGATACATATATTTACCTGTTCCTGGCAGTTTGATGCCAGGGTGTGCTATCTTAGATTTCCTGAGTTTTCTGAGCTTTTTCTTATTTGTACTGTAGCCTAAAGTTGAAAGTGGTAGACAAGACCAGGCACAGTGGCTCACACTTGTAATCCCAGCACTCTAAGAGGGCAAAGCGGACAGACCACTTGAGGCCAAGAGTTTGAGATCAGCCTGGCCAACTTGGTGAAATCCGGTCTTTACTAAAAATATAAAAATTAGCTTGGGATGATGGCACACACCTGTAATCCCAGCTACTAGGTAAGCTGAGGCATGAGAATTGGTTGAATCTGGGAGGCAGAGGTTGCAGTGAGCCAAGATAGCACCACTGCACTCCAGTTTGGGTGACAGAGTGAGACTCTGTTTGAAAATTTAAAAAAAAAAAGGAAAGAAAGAAAGTGGTAGACAAAAGGAAGAAGGAACATATATCTTAACCACTCTGTCATATTTACTCTGTCTTTATGTGGCTTAAAAAATATTGCAATAACCCACCAAAGCTGTGATTGCTTTAATTTCAAGCGGCCCACTTAGGTGATAGGGCGGCAATTAGACCCTCTCTAAAACAGTCTATTGAATTTATATTTTATGTAATGTACTTGGATCCCAAAAACTGTCACTAATGTCCTTCTCTAGAAAAAGAAATACACACACACAAATAGTGTCTGGCTAAAATCTTTTTTTTTTCCCTTTGTATTGGTTAATTTCTAAATGCAGAATTGATATAGTGGTAAGGAAGCAACAATATAAGTAGGCAATGAAAAGGAGGCCTTAATTTCCTTTCTTGCCTCTCTCCTTACTGTGTGCTTGTTTGAAAAGCACAGTACTTAGTGATGGGATTACTCTAGTGGAAAGTCACGGCTCCTGTTTTCATAAGCTATATGTCTAATGAGAAAATGGGTCTGAAGAGACTATTAAACAGTGTCCTGCTAAGTGCTGTAAAGGAAGGTATCCATAATGTACAGTGGAGGCTTTGATAAATATACATTATGTTGTTCCTTGTGGAGCAAAAATGATATCACCAAGAAGGAGGCACTTCAGATGACTTTTGAATAGTTTGCTAGGAATAAAAGTGAGGGGTGATCATTCTAGCAGATGGAACAGGATGTGTTATGGCACATATTGCTAGTTAGTAAAATGAAAAATGATTATCTGGAATATTGAAAAATCAAAGGTGTCAGATAATGCATTTTTAAAGGCATAATAAAGAATTTGCAATTTAAGTTGAAGGCAATGAAAATATCTTGTTTGAACATATCAAGAACTAGCTGGGAACATATAAATCCATCCAATACACAGTTGTATTACCTGAGAGCCTGCATTCAGACTTCTATAGATATCTTCTTGGATCTCATCTCTCATGTCTTCATTTCCCATAGTCGAAGCAGCCTAAATTCTAGATTCCTATCCCAGGTTGTCAAAGTAATCTTTAGCTATTAAAAAGTAACTTGAAAAATCCTACCTAGTTAATCCAGTGATCCAGGACAAAGTTTCCCTAACTGCATATTCCAATTCTGGATTTATTTCTAAGTTCTGCACTTACAATCCAAAAGATTTGGTCCAATTACTTAATTTCTTCAAACCAAGAAGTCCACCGAGTGGACTAGAGATGGTAACACCAGGGCCTCCAATTGGGGTGCCAATTACTGAATCTTGCTGACATTTGCTGTCACTGTGCCAGCAGTGTGAAGGTCCCTCAGTTGCAGAACCTTTGTAGGAATTTCCCAGGCAGCATGTTGCAACTTGCCTGATCTATTTAATGATCTCATCTCTTTAATGATGCCACCTTGTCTAGCCAGATCCACTGTCCACCTAGCTATGTTCTACAAGACACATTGCTGCTCAAAAAGGAGCAGATTGATCTAATTGGAGACAAAAAATACAGACAGATTAAAAGAATGTAACCAGAGATAAAAAGCAGCATATAGGAATTACAAAGCGAAAAGAACAAAGTAAAAAATAAGTAATACAGATTTTGGAAAAAAATAAAACTGGTATAAAGGAAACTGTCAGAATTAGAAATTCAGCTAAGCCTCAAAATATATCTGGTTTTTATAACAGTTACAGGTTATTTTTGATTGAAAAATAATCATGCTTGAAAAAACATGTATTTATTTTTTTGGATAATAAAAATATACAATGTTACAAATTTTTAACAGAAATTCTACAGAATTTTTGAAAGAAATAAAAACTTGTCAATTTCTTATTCTACAAAATAATAGGAATAGATTTTATCTTGTTTGTGGCACTGAAAAATTGCAGTCTTTTGAAAATGTGCTGGTAATAGGAGATACATATATATATATATATCTTCCAAACTTATTGAAAAACAAAACTAGAAAAAACTTGATAACTAACAAAAAATAAAATACACAAAAAAGAGACCAAAGAAATAATTGCTACAAAGAGAATAAAATACCTAGGAATACAACTAAAAAAGGATGTAAAGGAACTCTTCATGGAGAACTACAAACCACTGCTCAATGAAATAAGAGAGGATGCAAACAGATGAAAAAAAAGCATTCCATGCTCATGGTTGGGAAGAATCAACATCTTGAAAAGGGCCATACTGCCCAAAGTAATTTATAGATTCAACACTATCCCCATCAAGCTACCAATGACCTTTTTCACAGAACTGGAAAAAAACAGTTCCAACTTCATATGGAACTAAAAGAGAGCCCCCATAGCCAAAACAATCCTAAGCAAAAAGAACAAAGCTAGAGACATCATGCTGCCTGACTTCAAACTATACTACAAGGCCACAGTAATCAACACAGCATGGTACTGGTACTAAAACAGAGACATAGACCAAAGGAATAGAACAGAGGCCTCAGAAGCAACACCACACATCTTCAATCATTTGATCTTTAACAAACCAGAGAAAAAAAGCAATGGGGAAAGGATTTCCTGTTTAATAAATTGTGTTAGGAAAACTGGGTAGCAATGTGCAGAAAGCAGAAATTGGACCCCTTCCTGACACCTTACACTAAAATTAACTTGAGATGGATGAAAGATCTAAACATAAAACACCTAACACCATAAAAACCCTAGAAGAAAACCTAGGCAAAACTATTCAGGACATAGGCATAGGCAAGGATTTCATGACTAAAGCACCAAAAGCAGTGGCAACAAAAGCCAAAATAGACAAAAGGGATCTAATTAAACTCCAGAGCCTCTGTACAGCAAAGGAATCAATCATTAGAGCAACCAACAGAACAGGAAAAAAATTTTGCAGTCTACCCATCTGACAAAGGGCTAATACCCAGAATCTACAAAGAAGTAAAACAGATTTACAAGAAAAAAATTAACAAATCCATTCAAAAGTGGGCAAAGGATATGAACAGACACTTTACAAAAGAAGACATCTATGAGGCCAACAAACATGAAAAAATGCTCATCATCACTGGTCATTAGAGAAGTGCTAATCAAAACCACATTGAGATAACATCTCATGCCACTTAGAATGGCAATCATTAAAAAATCAGGAGACGACAGATGCTGGAAAGGATGAGGAGAAATAGTAACACTTTTACACTATTGGTGGGAGTGCAAATTACTGCAACCATTGTGGAAGACAGTGTGGTGATTCCTCAAGGACCTAGAAATATAAATGCCATTTGACCCAGCAATCCCCTTACTGGATATATACCCAAAGAATTATAAATTGTTCTATTATAAAGACACATACACACATATGTTTATTGTGGCACTGTTTACAAGAGCAAAGGCCTGGAACCAACCCAAATGCCCATCAACAATAGACTGGATAAAAAAAATGTGGCACATATACACCATGGAATACTATGCAGCCATAAAAAACAATTAGTTCCTGTCCTTCATAGGGACATGGATGAATCTGGAAACCATGATTCTCAGCAAACTGACACAAGAACAGAAAACCAAACATTGCATGTTCCTCACTCATAGGTGGGTGTTGAACAATTAGAACACATGGACACAGGGAGGGTAGCATCACACACTGTGATCAGTTGGGGAGGCTAGGGGAGAGACAGTGGGGGGTGGGTAGGGTGCGGAGGGATAACGTGGGTTAAAATACCAGATATGGGTGATGGGGGGATGAAGGCAGTAAACCATCTTGCCATGTATGTGCCTATGCAACAATCCTGCATGATCTCCACCCATACCCCAGAACCTAAAGTACAATAATAAAAAAAAGTAATACATTTGTAAAGGAAGATGATA